CCTTTTCTGCCCCTGCCCGCTTAGGGCGCCGTGCTAGCCACACTATGAGTCAGAAGTTGGCATTTAAGAGACAGCCCCCGGGGACCTGGCATCGTGCCAGTGGCCAAAAGATGAGAGGGCTAAATTGGAAGAGGGCTGGCTCAAGGCCCCGTCACCACCAACAATGTGGGATTCGGGCCAGCTCACCCACCACACCTCCCGAAAACTCTGGAAAAAGTAGCTCTACGCTGTCCCCGGAGCTGGGGCCACTACGGGCCCCCCACCCTGTTCCTCTGCATGTCCCAACACGTCGGGAGCCTGTCCAGGCAAGCAAATACCAGGACACTGGCGGACCTCACAACCACAGGCACGAACACATATCCCTCTTCCCAAAAGGAGTATGCATGCCCCCGCGTGGACAGGCCCAGCCCAGGGGTCCTCGGCTAACCTGGCTCTGCCTCCCGCACAGGGCGTTCTGGGCCAGCCTCAGTCTCTGGGCTCCAGTCTCTTTGTTACATCCAGAGGGTCATGTCCGAGGTCCTTCCAGCTTTCCAACTGCCCCCTGGAACTCCCAGCCCAGTCGTCTCTTTCCTACACCCAGAAAACAAATCTGCAACGCACATCTGGGGCTGGGGGTAGAGAGACCCTAGCCTTCACCGGCTGTGGGACCCCAAGCACGGTGCTCTCCCTCTTGGAGCCTGTTAGTTCCTCTGCTACACGAGCATCATCATGGTCCCAAGCTTGGTGCATCAAACGTAAAGCACCCAGTAAGTGCCTGGCACACAGTAAGCACTCAATAACCAGTAGCTACGATTATGACTGTGATTACAACCCACACATCTCCCATCTAGACACTCCTTCCCCCGTGCAACTCTCTCCCGAACTTGCAGCCATCAACTCCCTAGCGTCACCTCTCACAAGACTGGGGGCCCAAAGGAGACAGTGCCCCCGGCCCTGGCCCACAGCGACCCCCTGCCCCGGGAGCCCCACAAGCTTGCAGCACAAGCCTGGGGAATGCGAATCCTGTCTGGACTTGGAGGCAAGCCTGGATTCTCTTTCCTTCCTTTGCTGGTCCTCAGTCCCACGGGGGGTGGCAGCAAGTCTGTGGTGGCCCCAGAAGGCCTGCAGAATGCGGCCTGGGCCCCCTCTACCTGCCGGCCTCCGTGTTCAGCCGCCGCTGGGTGGGCCCCAAGAGCCCCACCCATCGGAGCACAGAGAGACGTCCAGACACTCGAGGGGTGGCAGGGGCACCCCCGGTGTCACCCCTGGTGACAGGTACTCTCAAGCCCACATCATACTAGCCTCCCCAACACAGAAAACAAACTGGGAGAGCACAGTGATTTTCTCGAGGCCGCTCGCGTCGGCAGGGCCACAATCCACATCCGGCCCAGCCGGACCCCAGGCCCACCTGCGGCCCGGGGCACAGCCCTGGCCTGGCTGTCTCCCTGCCCTCGCATCAGGGGAGCACGGCGGCCCAGCTCTCGGCCCCCAGGCAGCACCCACCCTCTCGCTGACCGCGTTGTACTTGATGGCCAGCTCGTCACGCTCCGCCCGGCTCTGGGCCAGCAGGTCCTCCACGCGGGACAGTTCCTGCTGCAGCAGCTGGTTTTCCTCCTGCAGCGACAGCACTGATGCCATCTCCGCGGCCGGCAGCGGGGCTGGAGAGGGACAGCAGGCACATGGTTGGCTTCCTTCCCTCCCCCCCCCCCCCCCCCCGGGTCCAGGAGGACACCCTCCCACGATAGGTGCTCTACAAACATCACTGGAGGCAGGAAGAGGGACTGGGCCCCTGAAAGAGGACGTCAGCACCCAGAGCACGCAGAGATAAGAACAGGAAGGTGGGCAAAGAGACAGGCCTAGGGCTAGACTCAGAGCGGACGCAGACACCGCCGAAGGGTGGCCCCAGCGGGCCCAGAACGTGCTGGAGGGAGGCTCCGTCCAGCAATTCTAGCTCCTTCTTTCTCCGAGTATTACTCTTCTCTGGGCCTCGGTTTTGCTGATCTGTAACCTGGGTGGAATTGGTAAACAGGAGACCAGGAAGACCTCACTTAAGGGAAGGGCTTCATGTAACCTCTGAAGCCAGGGCTTCAGATAGTATAGGTCATGTTGGGAGGAGGAGGAGGAAGAGGAAGAGGGGGAAAAAGGGAGAAGTCGAAGTGTCCCCCCGCCCTGTGGGCTCCCCTTCCATCCCAGAACTGGACACACGCCACAGGTCTCCAGGCTCTTTCAGCCTAAGGTGAGGGTTCTCTAAGTCTCTCCTTGCCTGGGGCTCCCAGGGGCCCCAACACCCCTGGTCATCCCAAAGAGGTTGGACAAGGACTGTGGCGGAGCCCCAGAATCACCACCAAGGAGAGCTGCCCACACGCCAGCTGTAACTGAGGGTGCCCTTCCCAGACTCTCAAACCACACAGGAGGTTGTGGACGGCACCCAGCAGGAGGAACAGGGGCCCATCAGCCTCTCCGCCCTGCTGGGGAATGGACAGGACCATCCCTGGGACTTCTGCAGAGCCCTGAGCTAAACTAAGCTGCCCTCCCCCTGTAATCTGGGGTTCAGCCAAGCTCACACCTTCCCTGGGAGAGAACATGGTGTTTGGGTCTAAGTCTCTGCTGTGGGCTGCGGGTGGGGGTGCTCATCCCGTCTCGCAGTGTCACATAGAGAACGACTCTGGGCAAACTATACCTCTGAGCCTCCATTTCCCCATCTGTAAAATGGGTCCCTCCATTACAGGGTTGCGCCCGCCTCACAGTGAGTATTTGAGAAATGGAAGCTGCGGTCATTCCTGTCATTACGGCCGTGGAAGAGGGGGATGTGAGATGGGGTGAGGTGCAGTCAGTGTCTGTGGGGGCGAATGAAGAGGGGCACCTTGGTTCTCAGGCTGGGAGAGGTTGCGGGTGATGATCTCCCTGATGCGGGCAGGTAGGCAGGCGAGTTGAGAGTCCTGGGCAGGGTCCTGCTCGCTCAGGCCCTTCTCCCGGCCTGCCCTCAGGACGCTGCTCTCCAGGGTCTGTGGGGGGGTGGGGGGGAGAGAGAGTGTGAAGGGGACTGGGGGCCCTGGTCTCCCTGGCCTGGATGGGAGAGGAACAAAGTCCTGCTGCCCAAGATGTGGGGGCCCGTGAGACCCTCAGGAAGCCCCCATGCGGAGGGAAGCCTGGGAGCTACAACGGAAAAACGCCCCATGGGAGGGCACGCTTCAGTGCCTCCTGCCCCGGGAAGGAGGCCCCATGGAGCGCCAGAGAAGCGAACCAAACCGCATGGCTCGCTCACAAAACCCATCGGGGCAGCACAGGGCTGGGGGCTCCAGTCCAGCTCCAACCCTCCAATCCCAGAGGATTCCACTGTGCTAGCAGAGGTCACCTCAACCCTTAAATCTGGGAGCAGGGATCCCCTTTTCCCTGGGATAAGGGGGCCAAAGCAGTTTTGCTCTGAGCACCTCTGTACCCCCAATCCGGCTGGGAGTTGCAAGCTGGGGCCCCCGTGCACC